CCTCGGATGAAATCCCCAAGAGAAAAAGTAATTGCTTTTTTACATGCACAAAAGTAAAATCAGCTGGAGATAATGCTCTGATAGTTAAGAGAAGCAGTTATTAATATTTCTGCGTAGAGGCAACACAGCCACCAAGGCTACTGTGAATCTCACAGTCTTGCTCTTAGGCAAAGTATATGCAGTCATATCTCTAATCTGTTCCATCTCTCTCCAAGCAGCTCACCCAGCAGCGTGAACAAATGGCCTGGAAATGTCGTCATCAGGCTTCATCTGGCACTATCTCTCCTTCTGTCTGGGTCATTGATTTCCTCATCTCCTCTGCCTTGAAACTCACATCATACATTAATTTGTGGCTCTCTGGTACTGAAGCAGCTGCACTGTGCCTTCGCTGCTCGACACCAGCAGCTTTCAGCCTCTGAAGTGTCCTTCACTGCTGCTCACATGAAGACCTCCTGAATGTGTCTCAAGTGGCCTCCCTGCCTGCCACATAACAACATGTGCTCTGCCAGCTTTTGTTTCATCACAAGAGAGCTTAGAGCTCTTCTGCTTTTGGAAATTGGGTAAGATTCAGTCTCCTTCCTACAATGACTCAGTGTGCTGCAGAAATTACTCCTGCCTTGTATGAGCAGCTACTGTGCATCTCTCAGAGCTGTGCCAGTCTCTGCTAGCCACCAGCTGCCCTCTGGAGAGCAGAGCAAAGACCTGGGGCTGCTCCATGCTCTGGTCTTATGATTGCTAAATACAGTCCATTGATAAATAACATAAATGCACGAAGGGCACAAAATCAACAGTTGTTGCAGGTGCTAATGCAGCCTTTTCCTCTGTTCTTTCACCCTGTCACTGACACCTTTCAACACCACCCTTTGCATTTTGAGTAGGTATTGTAGCTTTGCATAGCTATTTCCAAGGACCTAATCTGGCCAGCAGAAATTTACTTTCCTTGTGTTTATTAGGAGTTATAAAAGTCCTACCTTTCCTCAACACTTGTAAACTGAGTGCATCTGACATGGAAGTTAGTACACGATAGTGAGACCTCAAATGTGAAGCCCTTGCTCCTAAATTAATGGTGATCTTAATGGGAATAATTCAATTCAAAGAAGTGCCAGATAAATTGAGTCTATTTCCTTAGGGAAGTGTGTTCTTTTGTAAAGCTCTGCCAATCCTTGCCTTTTTAGAAATCAAATTGGCAGTCTGTTTCACAGCCAAATTCCTGATCCTGGGCCTGGAGTATGTCAGGAAAAATATTTCTAGAGAATCCCCTGTTATAAATAACCTGGAGAAGGGAAGTATTCTTTGTATCCTTCCTAGAACAAAGAGTAGCAGGCTGTAAATGTGCATGGAGAAAGGGCTGATCTAGTGTACTAGAGAAAAAAAATCTTGATCTTGAGTCTGATGTTTGCAGCTTGTGCTCAGGATGAGTCACATGAAAGGCAAACTGAGATAAGAGCAAAGACTCCTGAAAGAAAACTACTGATTTTAATCTCTGTATCCCAGTTTACATGGTCTTTGCTGTAGAAATAAAAGCTCTGCACTCCCCTGTAATGTCTCCTTAAAAGGTGCAGCACCACCAGTTCCTGCCTGTGCCCTCGCTGTATGTTCCCTAAGCCTCTCAGGAGGTTTTTCCTTTGTGACCCGTTTATAGAGGATGCTCATAGTCAGCCTGTCCCAGCCCTCCTGCAGCTGTCACAGCCACACCGTGTCCCATCTCCAGCCATGCTGACCCTGAGGAAGTCACGTGAGAAATTTTATGTAGTTTATGTAGTTGCATGTGAATATCACTAGATGTCCTCTACTGCTAAGTAGCTTCGCTGTGGTCTGTGCCAAGCACCAGAGAAATCTGGTGAAATCAATCTCAGTTGTTTAAACCATGTTATAGTGTCATTGTTCCTATCCATAGAAGCAGAGCAATATTGTCCATCCATAGCCCAAAGGTGTGATCTGCTTTCTCTGACCAACTGGACTCACAGTGGCAGCAAAGCTACTGCATTGGTTTCATGCAGATTTGGAGTCAACTGGCAGTGTAGGAACACCTAAACTTTTTCCTTTGCAGCTCATTTGTGATTGTGCAATCTGACAGGGTTCAGGCTGTGGTCCCTTTGTGCTCTTCTCCAAATTCAACCCCAATGGTCAAGCCTGCAGGGCTCTGCTCTAGCAAGATCCAATCTGGTGCAGGATGGTGCTTTTATCTCTGCAGGGTGCAGGCAGCTACAGCTACCTGCTCCAGCACAATCTGCCTGTCCTCCAGACACTGATGCCAGCAGCATCTTGGGTTAGTACTTGGGAGGGTCACTGCATCTTCTTAAACCCCATCTCCATCCTCTGACTTCCCTGAAATGACCTGAAGTAACTCTTATCCCTGGATATATGGCACCAACAGGAACTTGTACTGACAAAAATCTTACCCATTGCACTGCATCTGCAAGGAAAACTTTTTTCCTTTTTCTTTTTGTGTGCTTTTTTTTTTTTTTTTTTTTTTGCAAACAGTCTCTGCCTTGCTGTGGTGCTGCGCAAACCCTCATGTTTGCAACCTCCTGCTGCAGAGCCTGGGCAAGAGAAGTGTCCCCAGCAGCCCAAAAGGCAGGCAGCTGCCAACAAAACAAGCCGAGAGGCTCATGCTGCACTAACCCACTCAGCTTTAATATGGGATAATAAACAGCCACATTCTCTAGACCTAATAGTGAAATACCATGCTATATACATAATGCATCCTCTGATTTAGTGAGAGCTTGCTTGAAGTATAATCTGACTTGAGGAGTTCAGAGGTTGTACCGACACTTTAATCTACTCACTGAAGCTGAAACAGACTGGAAATGTCATGTGCTTAAATCTGTATGGGGGAAATGTTGGCTGAAATTGTAAGGCACTCTTTTCTTTTAGCTTTCTATTTGTTCCAAGGTTTGAAGTGTCATCCATCCTACACTCGCATCCCCCCAGGGAGGGCTGGTAAAGGGAAAGCTCTTCATGCCACTGTCTCTGCTGTCAAACTGAACGTGATGCTTTGTTTGAGGGCTCCTTGGGGTGACTCAGCAGGATACAAAAATGCACTTAAATAGGAGTTGTATTGTATAAGCGCTCAACCACAGCTGCAATTCCCCTTTAGCAATGTTGTTAACTAATACGCACTACAAGAAATTTAATGCTGCTCCAGATACTGGATGGAATTGAAAGAGGACTTTTTGGCTTTCTTCCATCCATAATTTTAGTATTTCTTATGATAGGAAGGCTACTGAGAACTGAGCAATAAGCTAGATACCTGACGTACAGGAGCCAGGCCACAGCTTTTCCTGTCAAGTGTTACTGACTTTGGTATGAAATGCATCAGAGATTTTCAGGTTTTGGTGTATGAATATTGGGCTTGGTTGGCAAATGCAGAAGCAAAAATGTGCAGCTCTGAAGGGTGATCTGTTTAAAATGCCCAAATAGAAAACTGGATTCTCAGATTTAAAGATCTAAACCTGAAATCTTTGGCCTACTAGTCCCAGGACTGCTGTGTCCCCAGCATTTAGTGACAGCACTTCCACACCTCTGAGAATGTACAGATGACCTGCTGTGTGCAGTTTTGCCAATTTTGCCCTCCCTGGTGGCAAGATGTGCTGATAGCAAAAACCAGATTCCTCATATCCAGTCACCTCCATCACTGCATTGCAGTCTGCCCTGGGAAGATGAGGAGACTATTTTGTCCTAGAGGGAAAATCTGTAACCAACAGAGAAGCTGTTTCACACCAAATTCAGGTGTAAACATGTGACTCCTTTTGACAAATGCATATCTTACAAACCCAGCTGTCAATTCATGTAAACAAAACACGTCTGTCCACGGTTTGGTTTGGAAAGCCTGTGGGGTTCCTCCTGGTCTGCTCCCTCTCACCTCTTCCATGCAGCTGGACCAATGCAGGTTTTGAGGCAGATACTCACATATCTTGTTTGCAAAATGGCAGTATACTTCTCTCTGCCTGTTACACTTGTGGGAAAGATAGCACGGAAGCTGACTTGTTCCGTTCATGCCGCAGCGCTGTGCCAGACTCCTTGGGTAGATCTTTCTTGAGGACTACTGGAGTGTACAGAATGCTAATTCAGCACAGGAGGAGTGCTGGGACTGTTCACTTGGGTTTAAGAACCATTTTGAGTTCCTGTACCTCTGCTTTGCTCACCACCAGGGAGGTAAGCCCTGAGCCAGCACGGTAAATCAGCAAGTGCCTAAATGTACCCTCTGAGATGCTGCAGGCACTCGGTCTGTAAACTGAGCACCACCCAGGGTTGTGCTCAAGGTGCTCCTGTGGTAGGACACGTCGTTCCTGTCATGGGTCATTCTCACACAGCCATTGCCAGCATCCTCTGTGAGGGCAGCATGTGTCAGTAAGTGTGTGTAGGTGCGGGAGCAGAGCTTTTGCTGGTGTCAGGCGCAAGGTGTGAGGTGGCAAAGGAGCCCGCAGGTGGCATGGGAAGCGCTGCTTTGGTTGTGCCTCGAAGTGCCAGACAAGGGCACAAATGAGAGGTAAAAAAATAACCACTGCTTATGTGTTCCCCGAGTGCTGTATAGGATGAGCTCTGGTGTATTCAACACGAATTCTCTTATCGGGATTCAAGTTGATGAGGCTTCCTAGTATTAAGTATGAATATATATACATGGGGGAGGGGGAGAAGGGGGTTGTGTGCGCACAGTAGCTGCTTCTCAAAGGCTCGGTGTGCGCCGTGTTCATGCGGCGTGAACGGCGCTCGTACCAGTCCGTGCCGTCCGGCCGCTGCCCCGTCCGTCAGACAGAACCGGCTGTTTACTGTCCTCCTGCTCCTCCTCGTTTGCTGGCGGCTGCACGAACCCCGCGGCCGGAGGGTCGGTGCGCTCCCTTCAGCCGCAGCCCCGTGGGGCCCGGGGTGCCGGGCGGGGAGAGCGGCCCGAGCGGTTTAAGGTGCCGCCGCCGCCGCTCCGCTCCACCTTAACGCGCGGCGGCGGCGGACGGGCCCATTGCCGCGCCGGGGGTCGGCGGGCCCGGGCCCCCGGGAGCCGCGCCGCCGCCGCGCCCACGGACAGCGGCACCACGGGCGGCCCGAGCGGCGAGCGCGGCCGAGCCGCCGAGCCGCAGGTGACGGGGGTCCCCGCGCCGCCGCGAATCCCCCTGCGGCGGCGCCCGGGCGGCCCCCGGCGGCGGGGCCGGGCTATTTATAGCAGCCGCCGCGGCGGTATAAGGACGGCGGGCGCGGGCTGCGCTGCCGCGGCCGCCGGGGCCAGAGCGCGGGGCCGCCGGCGCTGCCCGGCCGCCTCTGCGCGGGCGCTGAGGGCGCGGCCCCGCAGCCCGGGTGAGAGGGCGGGGAGCGGGCTCGGAGCGGGGCCGGGGGACGCGGCCAAACAAACAATAACCGGGTGCGTTCTGCCCGTCCCCCGCGGGGCGCGGGACAGCGCCGCGCACTTCGGGCGCTCCACGCGTGACAAGCCCGCGGGAGGGGCGGGACACTCGGCGGTGACACCCGGCGGTAACCGCGGCGGGGCTTCCCCCTCTGCTTCTTTCCTCTCTCCACAGCGATTCCTGCTGAAATGCGGCGCCCCACGCTGGCATGAGCCCCCGCGTCGGGAGCAGCGCGCCCCGGGCACCGCCGCTTTCCCTGGCCGCAGCTCGGTGTCGGGAGGAAAGCGCTGTCGCCGACTGTCGCCGCGGAGCCGCCGCTCGCGGCAGCGCCGGACGCCGGGCAAGGCACGGACGGTACGAGGGCTCCGTGCGGCGGGGGGCTGCGGGGGCCCGGGGTGCCCGCCCCGCCGGGAAAAGGGAATGGATGGCGCAATGGTCGGAGCGCCGTGCGGTCCGTGTCTTCTCCGGGCTCTGCGCTGCGGAGGGGGGGTCGCTCTGAGTTACGCGGTGTAATGGAAGATCTTTGTAAGTTGAGGGTTTGTTGGATTTTGCTTGTGTCAGGGTTATTCCCCCCGCCACAGATTCAGAGCCACGGTAATATTTTACTTTCCTGCCCCGGGTGCGTTTGTATGTGATCTGGGTACGGCGAGGATTCTTATCTTACCTTAAAATTGCTCTTGGATCACTGAGTACTTTGTATAAGCTTCCATAACTTTTAAAAAGGATAGAGATGCTATCTTCAATTACAGAGAAACAAGGAGAGGAGGAGGTTCAGGTTTGGGTTTGTTGGTTGGTTTTCTTCTT